TAAAAGTGTTGCAACTTTAAAAAAAAAAAACAAAGAAAGTATTAAAGATCAAATAGTTCCTCTTTTTTCACCTCACACCACGCCATCACTACATATTTTTCCTTACAATCACACCATCATTATCTCCTCCTTCCCTATATTCACTTTCATTTTGCTTAGTTTGACCTTTTTCTTTTTTTCTTTTTTTTTATTTTTTTATTTTTTACTTTTATTATCTAGTAATACATCTCTCTCAATCCAAACATGTCATACGTTAGGGTAATAAAAAGATAGTTTGACCTTTATTACCTAGTACTACCTCCTCCCTTCTTTGTACAACTAGCCTCATAAGTGCACACGATGATGATAATTATAAGAAAATAATTTACTTAACTACTGATTCAATTTTATCACATACATGCTATTTAAAGCGATTTTTTTCTCCATTTTTATATAGGAAAAAATTATAAAAATTAAATATTAATAAAATATAAAATGAGACGAATCCAACAAAATCTCACATATCTATTTTATCTCTTACCAATTAAAAGTATTTTATTGTAAAATTTAAAATTTGACCCAAATTTTTGCAATAGGGACAAAAATTAAGAATAGGGGAAGTTAAAATAAGTATATTTATACTAATACTATATTTGGCCTCTGCAAATGCACAAATTCATAAACTTAAGATTTATTATTAATGCTTGTCAAAAAAAAAAAAAGATTTATTATTAATGTAGATAATGCATTTAGTGCCCTGAGATTCTTGGACAGCGGATGTATTATTATGTAAAAAAAAAAAAAAATTAGATTAGTTTGTATGTATATTTTCATTAGATCCAGTCACTAGGCGAAAACACGTAATTCGTACCGGTTCAAAACCCCCATTTAGCATCGGTTTTGAACCGGTCCTAATTTGGGAGGTGCTAAAACCCCAGACATTTTGCACCGGTTCCAGGATTTTCGCATCGGTTCTGGGTGAGAACCGGTACAAAAACCACACTTTTAGCACCGGTTTTTTCTTTGAACCGGTGCTAAAAGTGGCCAAAAAAATTCAAAAAAAAACTTTTAGCACAGTTCTGTTCCAAAACAGGTGCCAAAAATGCCCCATAAAAATAAAAAAAATAAAAAAATTCTTTTACATTTTTTTCACTTAAATTGATATATAAACACTAACATATATATAAAGTTACATATTTTCATTAAAAAAGGTTGTAATATTACAATTTTCGTCCAAAAAAATTAAATAATTGTGGTTGGCTGGGTGACTGGTTTGAGTTCTTGAGTTGCTGTGTTTCTGTTCTGCTCTGGTCAGGCTGTACTGGGTGTTTGCTACTATGATGTAGTGCTGTGTTGCTTGCTGGTTTAGCTGCTCTAGGTCAGGCTGCTGTGTTTGGTGGGTTCTGCTGCTGCTGCGTGGTCCTCTGTGTTGCGATACTAGTGAGCTGCTGTGGTGCTGTGCTGGTGAACATGTAGGACAATCTCAAGTAGGATATAAATATTAGATTTTCAAAGAGATTACTATCACAAACAATCAAGGTAGGTCAATATATTTATTGTGCATATTAGATTTTTAGAGACAATACTATCATAAACAGTCAAGCTAGGGTCTATATATTGATTGTGTTCCAATTTTACAATTGGCTGCATGCCCATATCACCATTGTAAGGGAATTTGAGAAACCTCACAACATGGTAAGTGTTTATGAGATAACCAACTGACATATCAAGCTGCAATAGCAGTCAATCATCTGCATTGACTACAAAAGTGGTTCCGCGATTGTGCCCCCATCCAAGATTATAGAGCATGGAGAGGGGTATGCGCTTCGAGTTGAGAGAATGGACATTATTAAGAAGGTAGGTCCTGAATTTTATGGACAGTCTTTAAATCCTTTTCCAGTGATAACCTAAAGAGTAATAACCTAAAGTTATCAAGAGAATAATTGTAATCCCCCGTATTTTTAAACATTTTATGAATGAAATTTTATTTTATTTATAATATTTATTTGTATTTTTCCATAATTTAATTTTCAAATTATTAATTTGGGTCAAAAATTATTTTAGGCTAAATTATTTTATGAAGCTATATCCTACAATCTATTGTTATAAAAACAAAGCCTAACCCATTTGTTTATTTAATTGGCCCATTATTTTCATCGGGCCCAATTATACCCTACAATTCTTTCCTATAAATACCCCATGAATCCCCAAATTTTCCCCCACACAAAAAGGTTAGTCTTATTTTCTTCCTCCCTCTTGTTTTCTCTTCTTTTGTTAATTCAACCCAAGTTTAAATCTTTATCAATTTTTGTTATTTAATTGTTATTATTATGGTTTGATTATGTATGTGAATTATAAAAGATTATAAATTTATAAGTTTTATTATGTTTAAATTATGCATCAAAATTTCAGATTTATTTAGTTAAGAAATTAGGGTTTAAAACTTGATTTTCATGGTTTTAGGGCTTAAAAACGTGTTGCTAAAGTTATTCAATTTAAGCATGATTATATTGTGATTATACTATGATTATGATGATGTTTAATTCAAAAGCAAGGTTTCAATTTTTCATAGTTAATTTATGATTTCCGTTCTTAATTTCTCTAAATCACGTTTTAATCACGTTTTGACTCTGACTCGTCTGATTTTTGCAAAAAAAAATAGTGTTTTTCGTGTGTAAACGACGTTTTAATCAAAAGTCACTACCTTTGGTAGTGGGCACCGCCCTCTCGTGGCCAATTCAGCCTCTAAATATGGTTTTCGGGTAGTTTTTGATTTTTAACGAAGGTTTAATGTTTAAAATAAATTTTCAGATTTTTATAAAGCTTTAAACTTGCTGTAATTTTATGAATAAGTATGTATTTTAATGTTTTTATGTAGAAAATTTTAAGAATAATATATAAGCTTTTAATTCTAGCAAAAAGGAAGGTTTTAAAGTGTTGTTTAATTGAATTTTGAAGGTTTGATTGAGTTTTTATGAAACTAATTGAATTCTAATTATATATTTCAAGTTTAGATTTTTGTATTCATACATTCTACTATTAAATTAAATTTTTCAGATTTTTAATCTTGGTTTTAAAGATTTTAAATCATGGTTTTATGATGGATTTTCAGGTTTTTAACATACTAACCTACTATATAATGATTATTTCAAGTAGAGATGTGTATGAGGTTGTTTTATAATCTTAAACTAAATTTCCAGATTATAATCCTTACTTTAAAGTTGCTGGAATTTTATGTTATAAGCTATATTTTCATGATTTTAACATATAAACTTATACTTGAACTATTGAATTATTAACTTTAACTATTGTGAGTAATTTAAAAGCATTATTTCAATGGTTTAAGGGGTTTTAAAGTAAGTTAATATTGCTGTAAATTATATTGCTTGGATATTGATTAAACCATTGTTGTTTAGTTTAGGAGAGGACTTTGTAGAAGGAGATTTTTAGTTTCTAAGGTGGCCAACCAACTCGTTTACTCAAGGTACGTACAAGGATACGAAAACCTTGACTCTATAAGCATGTTTAAGGACTTGGAAGACTTAGAATCATGTTAGGAAACTTGTAGATTGGTTGGAATTGTATGGTAGTAAGTTTGATTGGTGATTAATGTGGTGATTGGTTTTGTTTCATATATGAGAAATGCGTATTAATTTATCTTGTAAGTATTATTTATGCATTAACATGCAAGATGAGCTTAGAGGCAAAGGTATGTGAATATGTGGAATAAATTATTTTAATACTCGTTCATGTTTATTGAAATGGAATGAGTAGAGGGAGAATTAAAGTCTTATAAGACGAGGTCGAGGATTTGAGGTGTCTTATGCACTTAAGGTGTTTATACACCAAGGTAGTTAAAGGATTCAATACTAAATATTGTTTGTCACTAATAAATCAAGAATTGAATTGGAAATTTGAATTGTTTGAATGATGGATGTATGATTGGTTGTATTGTTTTGCATTTGAGTCATCACCAACTTTAAACTTTTAAATCACGTAAAGTGCAAGATGGATGAGCAATAAAACTCTGGATTTGTGCACATTTAGAGTAATGACAAACAGGGGTTGGGGTACACGGGGTATTAGCCGTGTACTTTTCAGAGGTCGTCTGATCTACGAATCTCTTGTTTTCAAATACTTTTAAAATTATAATGAGTTAGATGAGATCTCATACTAGCTATGGCCACGGAGTCGCGCCCGTCTGCCATTGGATGTTTATTAATGTTTCCGAAAGGAGGCATAGGGTTTTTCTTTTATTAATGTTCCGAAATGGAGCATAGGGGGACAACCTGGTCTATTGCTTAATCCAATCAATGAATGTAATGAAATGAAATATTGTTAGTAATTAGTGAAGTCTTAGTAATGTTAATAGTTGAAGCGTGTGTTCTAGTCAATAATTAAATTGTGTGTGCTGATTAATTTTTAGTAACATGCTAGGGATTCTTTGTTATAATTTGTAGCTTGTATGTACTCAGCGTTGTTGATTGCGTGCTTTTGTATGTCTTTTTCTTGGTCATGGCCTTCGCCTTTTCAATTACCCTGTAATGATCCAATTTTTACACTTGTAATATTGGGGAGCAGATTAATCACAGGTTTTTACTCAATCAGAACTTGCATCAAGGTGGTGGGATTTTGAGTGGAATGTTGGTTAATCTCACGGTTTATTACATTTCATAAGTTTGGATTTAATTAAACTTTGGTTTGATTTATTTACTACTTTTATTGGGTTTTGAATAAGGGTCTTAACGGTTCCAACTTGTAAGACTAAATTTGGTTTTGATTTTTGGTTTTGAAACTTATTGATAACTGAGTTAGTTTTTCCGCTGCTAAATTCTGAACTAGCCATAACGTTTGAACACGTGGCGGTAGCACGTCAGTAATTCTCTTGCAAATTGTTAAAGGTATTTACAGGTTTTTAAAGAGAGAATTATTAAAGTGTTACAATAATAGCCTAAAGCAACCTATCATTTTTGTATCCAAAATTCTGCCATTAGCAATCAAAGACTCAAACTTTAATCTTTAAATTTCTAGTTCAATAGAACTTATAATCTAAAAATCCTAGTCTATTACATATTCATACATCTAAGAAGTACCCATCATCCCTTTTCAAGTAAATTATCCAGAAAACAGCAGAAATAAGAATCTCCCAAAGACGGTTCTTAACATTACTCACATTCAGAGCCCTAAATCACTCTACAAAAACAATCACGCAAGAAATTAAAGAAGACTAGTGGGATAGTGCATCAAAGATAAACCAGATTTACTCGATGAAAAAAATGAAAAGATAGGACCTTAAAACATAAGAAGTATAAGGAATAGGTTCATAAGGGAAAAGAGTCAGTCAACTTGCATCTATGAATTAACTTTCATCAACATAAACTATCAACAAGTTATAGTTCCATTTACCTGAGAAATGTCTTTGGGAGTCTCTATTCTCAAAACAATTGATTTTTCAAAGGGATTTGCAAAAATTTCAGACCTGAGATCTTTCTGGCTAAACATGGTTAGCAGTGGTCCTGTATTCAAGAGAAGTATCAGTAAGACTAGTTAAGAAGTTAAATTTTTTTTACATAGTTCAATGATGAAGTTTAGCAGGTATATACGAGTATACCCTTATCGAGCCTACCTCCAACTGAACCTGACAGAACCTTTGGATCAATCACAGCCACAATGTCTTTCTCACTGAACTTATGTTTCTCTAACTTCTTCCTCTCTTATGCCAACTGTTTCTGTTTTGCGGTTTCATCCTTCAATTCTACTTTACGCGACCTCTCTTGCTGCGTTATGAAAAAACTCAGTAAGCTCTAGTCTTAACATGATCTGTTACATGAAATCTATAAAACATAAGACTGGCCTCCTTCATGAGCCTTTTTACCTCAGATAATTTCTTTCTATTTTCAGCCTGATTAACTTAGTTTAGTTTCTTCTCTGTATTAGCATCACCTCCACTTTCCGACTTATAAATTGCACCTCCTTTTTCCAGTCTGACAATTTTTTTTTCACAATCATGATTCTGAAAATACACCAGACTTGCATTACCACATGATACACGTAAACATTTAGTATTCGGTAGAGCATCAAAATGCGGATATAAAAAAATTATTAAGTCACAATTTATCAGTCACCTAAAGCTAGAGGTATGCATCCAACTTCCAAAAGTTTTAAATGTACAACTCAAATCTGAGCTAGAGGTGTGCAATTGTATTGATCAAAAAATCTTTCACACTCCACTGGAGTAAAACAATTTGCCATTAAAAAGGCTCAAGGGATTCAACAGCTAATTATGAGGTATAGCAAAGAGCCAAAGAGCGAAATATTACCAAGGAAGGATCATTAGTCTCATTTAAATGAGAGAAACGCTCAGGCAAGCAGTTTGACAAATGTTCCATAATATGCCACCCAGAAACAGATGACAGTGAATTGATATACGGAAGGGATGCCATCAATTCACCACTTAGTGTACCGAAATCTGGCATCTTAGAAAAGGATGTGAGGCAATATACAAGCGTTGAGTGAACATCATGCAAACCAGCTTTATTGAGCATCTCAACAAATTAAGTGTTGCAGAGGGTAGTAATCCGAAACATCTGAGACTGTAGTTGCAGTGTATATGGTCAGGGATAGGAAAAGAAAGAAGCCAATCAAATGCCTGTAATGCAAGTTAGTAGTTGGTAAGATAGATGCACGACAAACAGCCTCACCCCAACCCCCCCCCCCCCCAAAACAAATATGGCAAATAAAACACCCAAATCTGTAAGAGATGAATCTATAAGATATGAATATAAGTAAAAGAAAAGGCAACAGAACACACATTTAGAATTCAATGTTTGCAGCAATTGTTATTCAGTTAGAATCACCAAACCATTTCAGTTAAGCATGACAATTAAGAAGGTATGAATATTGAATTACACATCATGTTAGAGAGAAAGCAACTTAAGAAACCCATTTTGTTCCCCTTAATTATGAAGTAACAGGCAAGGAACGAACTAAACCTATGGTTGAAATGAGTGATTCCAACAATGAAAATGATTTTGGAAATCTTCAGATTTTCAAAAAATAGCAAATAGAAACAAATAAATGAAACTAAGAGCTGGTGAATAGAACAAATATATCATATTCCAAGGAGTATAGTCCTTGTGAGATTTTCCCCTATGTTTTGATGGTATTAATGTCCTTACCTAATAATATTGCACTAATCTTTGCCCTTCAAAAAAAAAATTCCAAGGAGCATCATGTCCTTACCTACTAATATTGCACTAAACGCACCCTTAAAAACTTTCCAGCTCCAACACAAACACTTAAATGCATAATTCTGAACCCTTTTATCACCCCTCAATTGGACTAGACTATGACTGGAAGAAGAGGGAACTTAAACTTATTCTAGGGCTTTCTATAGCTTTAATATTTATATTCTTTAAAAGCACTTGGAAACTCATAACAGGATAGTAAAAGATAATGAAAAACAGAGAGATAGTATATTAATTAAACGGAACACACCCAATAATTTTTTTCACCAGTAACACAAACACTTACCTGCATCAACTGTGAACCTTTGTCACCCTCAAATTTCTCGGGGTAAATAGCTGCATAAACCATCAATAATCGCAACTTATTCTCACAGCTTAAATCCTGTCAAAGGGGCTTCAACATTGTCAGAAAAGTATTACAAACTTCATAATAGATAAAAAGATGCATGATTCAGACTACAAAGTCCCTACCGTATGCATGCTTAAAATTTTGATAACTTCTTTAGTTCCAGCATCACCAAAGACAAGATCTTGTTCCAGTTTACCAACCTCCCTAAGTTTTTGCTCTCTTATGATACGGGTATGAATTCTGGGGTTTGAACCAAGACCCATTTGTTTGCAATTGCAGCTTAAAATTCGATGGCACAGTCCCACATTCCGCCATTTTTCTGGAGTTTCAATCTCACCCAAATGCTCAATACCTTTTATTCTCCCAATCAAATACGAAAATAAGAACTTCATTTATGCTTGAATCTACTGAAAATTAATTATAAACAAAAAAAAATCAATATCTAAACAGACAACATATTCATTAATTTTCAAAGAAATGGGATAAAATTCTAAATAAAAAAAGGCGTAATTGAAGTGGGATTTAGGGAATTGGGGGTGAGAAAATGGTAAATTAGATGATACCTGGAAGTTAATTTTCATGAATTCATAGTGTTAGAAGGAGAGAGGAAGGAAGGAATGGGCTGAGTTTATGACTGGTTTTGCAAAGCTGAATAATGGTGGAGGTGGTTGTGGTGGAGGTGGATCCGTGCGCGCTTCAATGACAAACCCTAGATTACCACAACCCTAAAATTACTAAATTGAAAAGAAAATCAACGACGACAAATCCTAGATTGCGAAGGAATTCGATAAATTAAGAAGACCACAAAAAAAATCTTACCTCAAAGCTGCTTCAATGGAGGTGAGAAAGCTCAAAATCTGCTTCAATGGAGAATGAAGAGCACGAGTTCAATGGAGGAGGGATATGGAAAGAGAAGGAGGTGCGGCTGCTTAAATGGAGTGAGAAAGCTCATAAACGGCTTCAATGGAGAAGGGTGGAATTCGGAGGTGGTGGAAGAGAAGGCGAGAACGAAGGGAAAAAGAAGATGGAAAAGCAAGGGGAAAGAAAGAAAAAAGAAGAAATACGCGAGCCCGGCTTTTTTTTTAGTTTCGCACCGGGTTATTAGGAACCGGTGCGAAAAATCTTTTTCCCAATTCCGCTCATTTCTTTTCCCACCGGTTTTCAAGAACCAGTGCGAAAAGTGCGGTTTCTATTTCATTTTTTCTACTAGTGAGCTTTTAGACTTCTTAATAAAAACATAATACAAATGTTAATGGTTAAAGTAGTGCATTGGTATTATGACATATGTATTGGTCAAAGTGTTACGACTATTATGAAACAGAGGGAGTTAATTGTTTATCTTAAAGGACTTTGCAAAGTTGGAAGAGACTAAAGCATATATCATGGACTAGAGGCGATTGAGCATAATATAATTTGATCAACACATTGCATTATGATTTTATACTATATTGTATAACTGAATAACTGACACAGTCAAAATTTGCACACATGTCAATGCACTAATTTGACATTTTTATACAATTGATATTGATGAAAATTATAAAAACAATTAGACAAAATTACACTCATTGACATAAACTTTAGAGCATGTTGCAACCATTGACACGAACTTATTTTACTCGTTAAATTGACAACAACTTGCTAAAAAAGGAATAAATTGACATAAAGGCACTAAACACTCAGGCTTACTCTACATCAGTTAGCTATATAATTTTATTTTATTTTTGACCAAAAGCTATATAATTATGTTTTTTCCCAACACAGTAAGCACTATTTACAAGAAAATGAATGTTGGAATAGAATTTAATATATTTACAAGTGTTTAAAGTTAAGTAATTTTTGTTATTTTGTGTAATTTATGTCGATTTAGTTATTTTTGTAGCAAGTTGGTGTCAATCCAACAAGTGATATAAATTGGTGTCAATCATTGCAAAACACAACAAAATTTGTGTCAATGAGAGTAATTTTGCCAAAGAGTTATAAATTGAAACTTTATATTAATACCTATCTAGCAGCATATTTTATGGTAAAAGTATATTTATTATGTTATTAAAAAATTATAGTCAAAATTAATATATGAATAGTGAAAAAAAGTCTAATGTCTCGGTTATTATGGGATGGAGAGAATATGTATTATTGCTTGAATGATGTGATAATGTAAAGAAAAAAAAAAGAACAGGTTCGTGAGAAACCAAAGTTTGGGATTTGCAATGACATCTACTAGGGGATTGCTTTAGAGACGCATGCCAAGCATTTTGTACAAATAGCATAGCATAGATATAACTATCAAGGCACATAACAAAATACTTACTACTAGTACTCTTAATCTAGATTGATGAAAGACTACCATCTCTTCTCAGAGTTAGAAGAGGAAGCTCCCATGTCAGTCTCATAAGCCACCTTTGCGCAAGGAGGAACGATGAAGTGAGGCTTATGCCCAACATCCACTAAAATTCCATAGGCGGCCAGACAATGGTCTGCCGTATTTTTCTCCCTGTCTATATGTTTTACCACGAAATTCTCATTTTGCTACTGTATAAGCTTAAGAGTTTTGATGATGATGAGTGAAAGCAAATTTCAACTAATGTGTTTTCTCTAAGTATTTAATTAGAATAGGTGAAGTTGACTTTGGAAGTGGAAGAGTAGCCTTCCTATGAAGATCCAAGGAGAAGTTAAGGGAAGATTAAGAGAATAGAAGATGAGTTCCTCATTGAAACTAGAAGTAGTCCCTAATAGGAACATGAAAAAGAAGTTCCCTAATAGGAGCTTGACAGCAAGCTAAGAAGACTAGCTTGGACTGCGTTGAAGACAGCAAGTTCCACAAGAACTTGTCTGCGAGTTCTAGCAAAGAGGTGGAGAGTTGAAGACAGTAGGACTCAGTCCTGGTCTACGTGGAGCCCAAGTATCCTTATAATACAACGATTGAGGAAATAATCCAGCAATAGACTAAAAGTCTTATTAAGGTTTTTGTTAAGTTTATTTTTACTAGGATTGTTGTAAATATGTTTGGTAAGTTTATGAATGAAATTTATTAGAAGCGTGGCAAAGCTTGGCAAGCGTTTAAATATAGAAAGTTTTATAAAAGATAAGTTATAATTTAAGAAAAGATCTTTGAGATATTTTATCTTATAAAATATGGTTTTGCAAAATAATAATCTTTTCCAAATTATATCTTTGTTAAGTTTTCCAAAAGATTTTCTTCAAAAGATTTATTTTACGAAGGGTTTTGATAAACGGCAGTTTTACAATTTCTATCTTTTGAAAACCCTACTTTACATACAAGTACCTCTTGTATATGAAGGAGAGATCATAATTGAAACAACTTGTGAGTTTATGCGTGAAAAATCTAAAGAGTGCTTAAGAAAAGTTTGCCAAGTTTAAAGCTTTGTCATATTAGTTTCGGATTTCATGTGTAGCTTTCCAATCACATATTAGAGTCAAGAATTTGTATTGTTTTGGTATTGGGTGTGTGATTATTCTTTGCATACATTGAGGTAGGCTTGAAAGTTGAAGCTGAGTAGTGAGTACTCTGGGAGTGCTAAGTAAATCTAAGTCCGGGACTTAGGTTGGGTAGAATAGGGTTCTACTGTGTAGTAAGTTCAGTCTGGAACTTGTGAGGATGGTCTGATTGTAATAGGTTGTAACTAGGAGTGTTTGGCCTATTATAATGGATTGGTTTTGTGTTTGAAATCCTTTGGAGGGTCGAGGTTGTACTTCCAGTTAGGTCCTGGAAGGTTTCCTCGTAAAATCCTATGTGCATTGCAAGTTCCTTTAATATTTTGTTTTATATTTCCGCGAAAAAGTACCATTAGGAACTCCATACAATTCACCCCCCCCCCTCTTGTATAAGTTCATCTCAACTAACAGCTGCATTGGATCAGCAACTTCATTATTGACTGCATAAAGCTCATGATGTGGACAGTGATCAACCAAGTTAAACATAATTCAGAGGGACTGTATGCGCGTCTGTTTCAACCTCAAGCTTTTGAATTCTGAATTCCTTGGCAACATTTAGGCCCTCTCTTACAGAAAAAGGTTCCACTGCCAAAGCAATTGGTCTAAGTTGTAACCTTGTGCAGCTATTCTAGCTGCAACACCAACCCACAAGCCTAATTTCAAACGCGCCCCATTAAAAAAAGGCCCAAACCAAAACGATCCCACCCAAAAAACTGAACATATCTTTGAAATGCAGCCCACCCAATTATCATTTATACAAAACCGTCACTTCTAACGGCTATCTTTTTAAAAAATATAATTTAAAAAAAAAAAAGCATCACTCTCAAACTTTAATTTCTGAAATTTATTACTCCTCTCTTTGATTTTCTCTCTCTTACAACCAAACACAATTCACTCTCTCTCCTCCAAAACAACCATGGATATTTGAGATGAGATGAAAATCAAACGGATTCTCCCAAAAAAGATAATTTTATGTAAATTTCACTTAATTTTGTTTTAAATTATATGAATATCATTTAATTTTGTTTGAATGTTGTTCGATACTCTGTTGTTCGAAATTTTTATTGGAATTGTTAAAAAATTTAGTGAAATCAAACGGATACCTTATGTGTTCATTAAATGTTGTGAAACGTTCACAATATCATTATTTGTTGTTTATATGATAAATATTCTTAATGTTCATAAAATGTTCTCATTTTGTCTGTTTTGTCTGTTTATGCTTGTGTTCATATTTTTGAATGCTTATGTTCACTTTTTGAAATGCATATGTTCACTTTCGTTCTTAAATGCTTATGTTCATATTTTGAATCCTTTTGTAACTTTCTGAAATGCTTATATAGACTTTCTGAAATGCATATGTTCACTTTTTGAAATCCATATGTTCATATTTTTTAGGAAAAATTGCGAGGAAGGTCCTTTTAAGTAGTCGACCTTGTGAGGAAGGTCCTTTTATGAAAAAGGTGGCACAAAAGGTCCTTTTATGGACTTTGGGTTGTGAGGAGGGTCCTTTGACCAATCTCCGGCGTTGACTTCCAAATTCCGGCCAAAAATAAGTCACACGTGACTACTTTAGAATTATTATTTTTTTCTTTTTTTCCCTTTCCCTGTTCTTCTTCGATTTCCCCTTATTTCCCCAACCATTTCCCTCCCTTATTTAACCCTAATTTGAGAACTAAACTTCAATTTCTAACCCAGAAACTACAATTGAAGGCTTCGTGGGCTGCTTGTTGGCTGAATTGAAGCTCTTTGAGGGATGCTATGTTCGAATTGGAGGAGCTGGTGTTGAGCGGCGATGGTTGGAGGAGTTTAAGTCCCAGCTTCCTTTGATGGTGGTGCGGTGGCCGTGAATACAGGCCGGTGGTTTCAGGTTTAATTTGGTGCGTTAGGGAGTAGCAGGGTCGAGTTTAAGGGATTTGTGCTGAGTTGCCATTATTTCGGTGGCTATTGTGGACATTGTTGTGTGGTGTTTGGGTGTTGCTGATGTTAGTGATGCGGTGGTGCGTGGTGGCAATATGGTAGCAGACGGTGGTTAAAGTGGTGGAGCTGTGGGGATGTGAATGTTGTTGCTGCAGTTGGGAATTGAAGTTTGGTTCTCAAATTGGGGAAATCGAAGAAAAACAGGGAAAGGGAAAAAAAGAAAAAAAAAATTCTAAAGTAATCACGTGCACAGCACGTGACTTATTTTTGGCCGGAATTTGGAAGTCAACGCCAGAGATTGGTCAAAGGACCCTCCTCACAACCCAAAGTCCATAAAAGGACCTTTTGTGCCACCTTTTTCATAAAAGGACCTTCCTCACAAGGTCGACT